GCTCTTCCCACATAATAAACGACTTCGAAGAACGGTAGTGGCATTGACCTGAATCTATTAGGGCCTTCGGTTTGGCGGTATTATAACTGCCTGTGAATCAATCCCTTACTTGCAACGTTCTCCACTCGACCACACGAAAGCCCGGCTCGTTACTGCCCGATTAGGAACGGGGTTCCGCCGGCGCTTCTCGCGGCAAGAACTTCTCGCAACGATCCTCGGGGGATGCTGACGATACCCCGATTATCCGCACATCCGCGATGTAGAATCGACAATCTGGTTGCTGATTATTTTTTTATATTGATAGATTATATTCGACTTTGGCTCAACGCATTGATACTCGAGGGATGATTTCAAACGAAAAAGAGAACCTCCTGGATCCCCCGTAATCCTAGAATACTTGGTGTATTTCTTTATATATGTTATACTTGCTTACTACCGATTTTTTTATATCAATTTATCTTTCGTATCTGAAGAAAAAGAAACTAGCACCATACAATTCTATAGAAGAGAGACAAAGAGAAAGAGGGCGCCTTCTCTATTTAATAATGTTATAAAAAATACACATTTTTTATTTTGTAACTATTTTCATTAATCATAAAAAAATAAGTATTTTCATTAATAATTTTTATTAATACGAAAATGAAAACGCAGTTTCTTGAGAAAAATTGTGTCTTAGCATTAAAATCATAGCATAATTAAACGCCGCGATGTAGAATCGACAATCTGGTTGCTGATTATTTTTTTATATTGATAGATTATATTCGACTTTGGCTCAACGCATTGATACTCGAGGGATGATTTCAAACGAAAAAGAGAACCTCCTGGATCCCCCGTAATCCTAGAATACTTGGTGTATTTCTTTATATATGTTATACTTGCTTACTACCGATTTTTTTATATCAATTTATCTTTCGTATCTGAAGAAAAAGAAACTAGCACCATACAATTCTATAGAAGAGAGACAATATATATAGCTGGCATTGATTTGCATGGATCTTTAACACAGTTAATTTCGCTTCCTGCAATTTTTCGTTTCGACGTATCCCGTATAAATTTCCTTCAATATCTTCAGTGTCTGCAAGAGAATATATGTATTTAAGAATCAAATATATTAGCACTTTGCAGGCAAACTTTTCGTTTCTTTTAAAACTGACAGTATATAAACAGCTGTGAAAGGATTCGTTTTATCATATGTATGCTTTCTTACTTTGTCATGTAAATTACGGTAAGTGATAAATATATCAGAATGAATTAAATGCGATTAGGTAACAATCTTCATAACAACCGACTAGCTGATGAAACAGCCAGAACGAAAAAAAAAACGGGATTTTGGATCGAGTGAAGTTTGGATGTCATGTACGAAACTTCATTTTACTTTCTGAATAACCAGAGACCTGTTACCTCACTTTTTTCTTCCTTGTACCACGCGACATTGATCCGGGCTTTATTAATAACCTGTTCGATCATGGTGTTGTATTTCTCGCTCTTGCCTCTTAATCGTCGTAGCTAAGAAAGAAAGAACGTGATAGTTACATAATACTTGGGCACTTTTTATACCCGCGAGGTATGCATATCCGTTTTCGGGGAACGCCATCGTTCACTTTCCGATCCTCGTTAAGTTTCACCATTCGCGCAATTTTCTTACCCATTCCACATCCTCTTCTTGACGAATACATTTCTCGAAGGCACGCAATATATTGATCAGAATAACATTCGCACTGGAAGTAAAACAATGAAAATATTGTTTTAACAAATATGAATATAAAATGTATAGAAGAATCAATTATTTGAAATGAAAATTTTTAATCGTTGATTCTTCGAGAAAACAGAGCCGATACTTGTTGTGCGCATAAATTTATTCAACTTACTAATTATTATGTTTTTCTGTTGCATTCGTATTAAACTTATCCCAATGTTGAATTAGGAATTCCATTGCAATGTGATATCCATGTGGATTTAACGCAACGGATGTTAGAGCCTTTTCTGCAATTTCAGGCGTATTGTTTTGTGAAAATATCATAGGCAGATATCTGAAAATATTTATATTAACATCATTTATGATTTACAAGAAATGTATATTAAATCTCGTATATACATCTTCTAATTAAAAAAAAAAAACATTAACTTTTTATTTAAATTTTTTATATGTTTAAAACTGTTTAAAACTGATTAAAAAAATTAAACTAATTAAAAATTAAAATTGATATGATTATCTCATCTTATAATAAAACTGTGAGATGATTTTTATGTAAAAGAAACCAAACATTAATTGAAAATTAAAAAATAGGTTTCTAAACAAAATGATGATATCACGTATAAAAAATAAAATATTTCTAATTTAAAGTAATTAAAACTAATTTTTAATGCCTTTTATATAATAATCATATAAAGAATTCTAATGTGTAAATAATTTTATTTTATATGTAACTTACTTTTTCAACAGATTCGGATTTTTATCACATCCTAATGCGAAGGCGAGGCTTTCCTTTTCATATATCGCTGATTCGTTGTACCTCTTCAAGAATGTCAGCCGTTCTTCGTTCTTAGCAATTTTCACAAATGTACAATACGTCCAGCTACGAAATTTCTCTGGAATACTAATTTAACGGCGATTTTTCTTCGATCGTAATAGCGTCTATACCGTTAAAACATGTTCATATTCTCATCGTATATTTAACACCGAATGCGATTTTCTGATTCTCATTTAATATTAACATACATACCGTGTCGATAACAAATAAATAAATTGCAAAAATAATCAATTATATTCAGCATTAAATATACGGCCAGTATTAGCAGTTGCAGCGCTAATTACTTACGAGTTTGATGATTCGTTTCGTATTTTGTGAGCAAAGTTGCGAGCTTCCCTTAAACATGCCCGATGACCCGCTAAACATGCCGATTTCATTAGATTGACCTCAAATTCTGTCCACAGCGTAGGATCTTTATGGACCAGCGATGGTGCCATTTTTCTGTACACCTTGTCTATGAATTTGCACATCACGAACTGAAAGAAGTCGGTTAAATTTTTGTTTTTAGATGGCAAAATTTCAATGTAATGTAAACAAATTTTTAAAAATGAAGTTAATTATATTAATATTTTAAGAAATATTAATTATATTAAGATTTTTTAAGCTAAATTATATATTATTTAGAGAGAGCAAGATTCAACTAATATATACATTAGATATTATAAGATACTGTAACTAAAATTAAACCCGCATAAACACAAAAAGATAATTAATTATTATATAATTTAAGAATAATTTTAAAAGTACAAAAGCTCTAAAATTATTGCTTCAAATATAATTTTGAAACTATATATTTTCTTTTTCTCTCTTTCC